ACGGTGGGGCCGGAGGGTCCCGGTCACTCCCCGCCCCTCGGGACAGCGGGATCGTTCCGGTGCAGCCGGAGCATCCCTGCCCGCACGGGAGGCTCCACCTGCTTTAAATCCCCGCGCAAGAGATTTTGGGTTGAATAACCAATTGATTCTGGCTTGCTGTGCTTTTTTGCTGTATTATTTTGTCAGAAAATGGAGCAAGCGGTGGTGGTTGGGCCCCGGCTCTGCGGCAGGGACAGCTTTGATGGAGGAACTGGGTTTTTTTGTTTCTAATCAGGCAGACACGCTTGGTGTGTGCACAACAATGATGCGGCTTGGCCTGGGCTTATTACAGCCCTAATTTTTATTTCATCATGTTAGAAAATGATGGACGATTTTTATTTTTATTTTATTTTATTTTCCTTCCCCCCCCGTCTAATTGTTTTTTTTTTTTTTTTTACTGCTAATTCATGCCAGGATGATAAAACCAGAATTAAGAGGCAAGAATCAATGCTTTTAAAATACTTCTGCGTTGGTAAAATAAACCCACATTAAAAGATACATAAGGAGAACAGATTAACAAGGCGTGCCTTGCATTTAGAATTAACTGATCTATTAATCACCAGAGTGGTTGCCTGAATGGCTCCGACTGCTCCTGGTGGGAGAAGGTCTCCAGGGCTGGGGGGTTCATGGTGCTGCTTCCTTGCACCCTGGTTGAGGTGTGGATGCCGCGGCGTCTCGGCAGAGGATGCTGTGAGTACCAGATCCGTGCTGAGATCCCGGGGTGGGTGTTGGTGAGTGGCACGGGGCTCAGGGGCACAGCAGCCGGGGCCATCTGCTTCTCCCCCACTGCCCAGCTTCCCAGTGCCTCAGTTTCCCTCTGGAGCTGCAGGCAGACAGTGAGGAGCAGCCGTGTGGTTCATGGTAAATGGCAGCGGATGGTTCCTTGCCGCCTGGATGCGTGTGGGTGAGCAGAGTGCTTGTCCTGTGGGCTGTGAAATTGCTGTCCTGGAAGCTGCCCACGGACCGGGGGATTAACACGATCCCAGGGCTGAGTCTGCTGGGATGGCTGCTGGGGCTGGGGATGGCTGGAGCTGCTGGTCGGTCCCACGGGCTTGGATCCAGTCTCGCTCCCTGCCTCAATCCTGCCCTGTTCCCTGCCCCAATCCTGCCCTGCTCCCTGCCCTGATCCTGCCCTGCTCCCTGCCCCAATCCTGTGCTACTCCCTGCCCAAATCCAACCTCTCCCACCTGCTGCAGGGTGCTGTGCCCTGGTCCAGGGAGAGGGCTGCACTTGGGTGTTAAGGGTATCCATCCTGGATGGAGGATGCACCAAGCCAGCTGTTCTCAGCTGGACCCCTCTGGCGAGGCTGCCTCTGCATGGGTCGTTGGGAGGAGGAACAGTGCAGAGCTGTGGCTGGAAGAGTCCCACGGGAGCCCTGTGGCTGTGGTGGGAGGTTTGTGATAGTGTTCCCTCTGTCCCAGTGTGCCGTGCATCCCGGTGCTCTGGCAGTTGTGGCTGCAGGTGCCCTCGACCTGGTTTTGGGGGCGTTTGGCCCCTGAACTGCCCCATTTTCCATCCCTGCACCAAAACCTGTGTCATGGGTACAGGGAAGGGCTGCACTCGCTTGCCTAGGCAGCTGGATGGCAGCAGTGGTGGTGGTGACCCTGCCCTGGCAGGGCTGGCCACAGCTCCCAGGTTGCTGGCTGTGCAAGTAGGGAAACTGAGGCAGGACCAGGCTGGTTGGTTAGGAGAGCCAGCTCTGGTTCCTGAGCCGTGGCTCAGCTGACAGTCCCTGTTGGAAAGGCTCCTGTCGCCGAGCTCCACTCTCCCAGCACCGTTCAAAAGGCTCCTTTCAGTGAGTCATTTTCTCTCTTGCTGTCCCACTATCCAGGGAAAATGGTGACACTGGCGGTACAAAGTGTGTTCACCATGGAAACGGGCTGGAAGGAGGGGGAACACCACCCCCGCTCCTCCCGGCTTCGGCTCTGCATCACCAGCCGTAGAAGAAGGCTCTGGGCTCCCCTCCCACTTC